TTTTTTGCACCTGAGTTTATCACCAGTTTTTAAAAGTATGCTTCTAGGTGTTATTTTGTTAAAGTTTAATTAATACGTGCAGAATTGAAAGTGCTGTTGAAGCCGAACAGTTGGAGGAAGATCATGCTGGTCACAGCCATGATCATGATCATGGTCACCACCATCATCATGATCATGAACATGATCACCACAAACATGGTAATTCCAATTTTTTATTTTTTTTCCTGCTAGTAGATGACAGAATAAGTTATCAATTAACTTTATCAATATATGCAGACAACTAAGTTTTTTGTCCTGGCTCTGATGCTAAAATTTGCCTTTAAAAAAAAAAAAAAGGCGAATTCCATGGTTGATTGGTGGCATTTTGATCTCCCTCCCCGTTCTCCCTATGTGAGACGAGGACAGAGAGAACAAAAATAAGAAAATGAGAGAGAATGACCAAATAATGTAGAACACTCTACCCCATGCTCTCTCTGCCTCACTCCTGTACAACAAATGACATTATGATAATTTTTCCCACTGTTTTGGCTTTCAATTTATGCATACGAAGATTATAGGCATTATCCTTTTGAAATCTGATGCAGAACACCATGATGGTCACCATTCCCACGATCATACTCATGACCCTGGCGTTTCTTCAGTCAGCATAGTTTGTGAAGGGAGCTTGGATCTCGAAAAGGTTGGCTTTACATTGCTCCTGTTTGGATATTGTCGTTATCGTTCAACCTAATATGGAAATTATGTCCTTGATCAAGACAATCTTTTTAGATTAAGATAGAAAACTGTGGAAAGATGATATTCGATGGAAAGATGATATTATTGGCCGAGAATTTATTCTATTTCATATTTCAGGCCAACATGTGGCTAGGCACACTGTTAATAGAAAGGAGCGAAGACATATATCGGATGAAAGGTCTTCTATCAGTTGATGGAATGAACGAGAGATTTGTCTTTCAGGTGATTGAATTTTTCAAAGCTTTACGTTTAGCCCTTTTTGTTATTTAAACACTTTGTTCGGATTGTGTGAAAATAGTAATAAATGATCATCTTGTGACCAACCTTTCCCAGTACGAATTTTCTTATTAAAGAGGAGATGAGAATTGAGAGATTGACATGAATATGGAAAAAATAAAGTTCTTTGGAGTGGGAAAAAGTTTTGAACGCAATTTTTTTGGGCAAATGGCTTCATTTTTCCTTTCTTCCATTTGTTTCTTGGTAAATTACCCTATTTTCTGCTCATTTA